GGCTTAAAAAAAAAGAAAAAGCGGGGGGGTTGGGGGGGGCGCAGCCCCCCCCATTTGCAAACACAATGCTCACACGATGCTTTTCAACTTGTTTCTTGGGCTTTGAAGCACGCTTGGTACAGCTTGAAAGAAGCGGGGTTCTGCAAACACCCTGCTCACATGATGCGTTTCAACCAGTTTCTTGGGCATCGGCTGAAAAAAAGCGGGGGGTTGGGGGGGGCGCAGCCCCCCCCATTTGCAAACACAATGCTCACACGATGTTTTTCAACTAGTTTCTTGGGCTTTGAACGGCTTAAAAAAAGCGGGGGGGGTTGGGGGGTCTGCGCCCCCCATTTGCAAACACCCTGCTCACATGATGGGTGTCAACAAGTTTCTTGGGCTTTGAAGCGCGCTCTGCACGGCTTAAAAAAAGCGGGGGGGTTGGGGGGGGCGCAGCCCCCCCCATTTGCAAACACAATGCTCACACGATGTTTTTCAACTAGTTTCTTGGGCTTTGAACGGCTTAAAAAAAGCGGGGGGGGTTGGGGGGGGCGCAGCCCCCCCATTTGCAAACACCCTGCTCACATGATGGGTGTCAACAAGTTTCTTGGGCTTTGAAGCCGCTCTGCACGGCTTAAAAAAAGCGGGGGGGTTGGGGGGGCGCAGCCCCCCCCATTTGCAAACACAATGCTCACACGATGTTTTTCAACTAGTTTCTTGGGCTTTGAAGCACGCTTGGTACGGCTTAAAGAAGCGGGGGGGGTTGGGGGGGGGCGCAGCCCCCCCCCCATTTGCAAACACAATGCTCACATGATGGGTGTCAACAAGTTTCTTGGGCTTTGAAGCGCGCTCTGCACGGCTTAAAAAAAAAGAAAAAGCGGGGGGGTTGGGGGGGGCGCAGCCCCCCCCATTTGCAAACACAATGCTCACACGATGCTTTTCAACTAGTTTCTTGGGCTTTGAAGCACGCTTGGTACAGCTTGAAAGAAGCGGGGTTCTGCAAACACCCTGCTCACATGATGGGTTTCAACCAGTTTCTTGGGCTTCGGCTGAAAAAAAAGCGGGGGGGTTGGGGGGGGCGCAACCCCCCCCATTTGCAAACACAATGCTCACACGATGTTTTTCAACTAGTTTCTTGGGCTTTGAACGGCTTAAAAAAAGCGGGGGGGTTGGGGGGTCTGCGCCCCCCATTTGCAAACACCCTGCTCACATGATGGGTGTCAACAAGTTTCTTGGGCTTTGAAGCGCGCTCTGCACGGCTTTAAAAAAAAAGCGGGGGGGTTGGGGGGGGCGCAGCCCCCCCAAATTCGCAAACACAATGCTCACACGATGTTTTTCAACTAGTTTCTTGGGCTTTGAAGCACGCTTGGTACGGCTTAAAAGAAGCGGGGGGGGTTGGGGGGGGCGCAGCCCCCCCCCATTTGCAAACACCATGCTCACATGATGGGTGTCAACAAGTTTCTTGGGCTTTGAAGCACGCTCTGCACGGCTTAAAAAAAGCGGGGGGGTTGGGGGGGGCGCAGCCCCCCCCATTTGCAAACACAATGCTCACACGATGTTTTTCAACTAGTTTCTTGGGCTTCGAAGCACGCTTCCTTTCTTCCTTCCTTGCTTCCTTCCTTTCTTCCTTCCTTTCTTCCTTCCTTGCTTCCTTCCTTTCTTCCTTCCCTCCTTTCTTCCTTCCTTCCTTCCTTCCTTGTTTTCTTCCTTTCTTTCATCCTTCCTTCCTTCCTTTCTTTCCTTCTTTCCTTCTAAAACCTACCAGAAATAACGCTTTCCTATGAAACCACAGAGAAATTACTGTTTTTCGTACGAAAAACCACGAAAATGCATCAAATCCTGTAAAAATATGGAGGGAATGGTGGTTTTCTTAGGAAAAACCAAGGAAATCGACCAAAAAAAAAAAAATGCCCCCAAAAAAAAAAAAAAGACCCAAAAAAATAGGCCCTCCGTTTGGAGGGGTCGGCTTAGGACGGCTTAGGGTTTGAGAGGGCTGCCCCCGGCACAAAAAGAACAAAGGCAACTTCACCCCGCAAGTGCTCGACCCTACGCATAGAGATCCCAAAGCCCTAAACCCGAAAACCCTAAACCCCTATTCCCTCAAATCCTAAACCCTGAAACCCTTAATGCCCTACAACCCTAATTCCTGAAGCCCTGAAACGCTAAACCCTAAAACCCTAAAACCCTACACCCTTAAACCCCTAAAGCCAACCCCCCTAAAAACCCAAAAAACGCAAGACCCTACAACCCTGGAACCCTAAAACCCTACCTAACCCCCCCCCCCCCAACCCCCTAAACCCCCTAAACCATTTCCCAAAAACAACCTAGAACCCTAAAACCCGACAACCCCCTGACTTTACAAAAAAAAAGGCCCTAAAACCGCAGAACCCTCAAACCCGAAACCCTAACCCCTTAAACCCCCCAAAAAAAAACACAAGACCCTAAAACCCTAAAACCCTAAAACCCTAAAACCCTAAAACCCTAAAACCCCAAAACCCCAAAACCCCAAAACCCTAAAACCCTAAAACCCTAAAACCCTAAAACCTAAAACCCCTGAAGCCCTAAGAACCTTAAAACCACGACTGGGCCCCGTGCTTTCGCAAACACGTGGAGGCGGGCGGCCCTCTTCCAGGGCCTCTGTGTGAGCCCGCGGCGCGGTGGCGCTCAATTTGGGCGATTAGGGCTGATAGGGGGATAGGGGTTTAGAGCTTCGGGTTTAGGGTTTAGGGTTCAGGGTTCAGGGTTTAGGGTTTAGGGTTTAGGGTTTAGGGTTTAGGGTTTAGGGTTTAGGGTTTAGGGTTTAGGGTTTAGGGCTATTCGGGTTGTGAGGGTTGGGTCAATGATCTAATGATCTGGAACCCCCCCTCCCCATCCAAGTCAAATCTTCAGGGTAGTTGGGGGCTGAGTGCTTGAAACGATTTGCCCGCTGTACCTTGTCATCGCCTGCCTGTTGGGCGGTCCATGCAGCAGCTTTCCGACACGTTACACGAGCGTCCCTCTGTCCCACAACCGAACCTCAAAGCACAAGCCTCCAAGGCAAAAACTGCCCATCCCAATGTTGGGCCCTCAGAAAAAAGTTCGCGTGATGCTGGCAGAAGCACCTCGACCCTGCGATCGACGTCCCGCAGCTGCCGTCCAATCCCTGGGGTGGCTCTGGGAAGGTCTACAGATGACAACGCAGCAGCTCCCTTGAGGAGCATTTTGTTCTCCTTCTCCCTCCCTCCCTCCCTCCCTCTCCTTATCCCTCCCTTCTTCTTCTTCTTCTTCTTCTTCTTCTTCTTCTTCTTCTTCTTCTTCTTCTTCTTCTTCTGCGCCTCCCGCTCTCTCTCCCTATGTAGTTCCTTACTATAGAAACAGCTCCAACAGCAACCTCGACGGCTCCCAGAGCCCCTTCTACAGCGGCAACTTGTAGAGCCAAGCGTTGCATCGGGAGCGGCTCAAGGGTTTGGGGTTTCGGGTGTGCTTAGGGTTTAGGGTTTAGGGTTTAGAGATTAGGCTTTAGGGTTTAGGGTTTAGGGTTTAGGGTTTAGGGTTTAGGGTTTTGGGTTTAGGGTTTAGGGTTTAGGGTAAGTCTAGGGTGACGCTTGGACATCCCGAACCGACCATCCGGGATTCTCATTAGCAGCAAGCCTCATGCTTCAGCCCCAAAAAGACCCTCGCTCTTTGTAGCTTCCCTGAAAGTCGTGCTGGGGGGGTGGGGGGGTAGCAGTTCATAGGCCCTGAACCTTAAACCCTAAACCCTAACTCGTAAAACTCTCAACTCTCAACTCTCAACTCTAAACTCTAAACCCTAACTCCTGAAACTCTCAACTCTCAACTCTCAACTCGCAACTCTCAACTCTCAACTCTCAACTCTCAACTCTCAACTCTCAACTCTCAACTCTGAAACTCTCAACTCTCAACTCTAACCTCTAACCTCTAACCTCTAACCTCTAAACCCTAAACCCTAAACCCTAAACCCTAAACCCTAAACCCTAAACCCTAAACCCTAAACCCTAAACCCTAAACCCTAAACCCTAAACCCTAAACTCTAAACTCTAAACTCTAAACTCTAAACTCTAAACTCTAAACTCTAAACTCTAAACTCTAAACTCTAAACTCTAAACTGGAAAACTCTAAACTTAACCCTAAACCCAAAGCCCACCACAAAAGATGAGGATTGCAGATGCTGGTTCTGACTTCTCAGAAGTTTCCAGGGAGCTTGGGTCTCGCCCTCATCGTCCCTATATAAAATCTACTATAATACTCTCCCCAAAACCCCTAGTTTATGAAAACCTCTATACTACTCTGAACTCCCCGAGACAGGTTGCGCCACGCATCACGAAGCTGCTGCTGCGCGCTCGCTTTGGCGGCCTTGCGGGTGCTGTGAGGCTTTGTCCGGGGGGCTGGGGCCTCTCAAAATGCCTCCAACGGCCTAAGCCCTAGCGTTTCAGGGTTTGATGGCTCCTTGCCAAGCACAAGGCGGAACTCCCATGCGGATCGGCACAAGGCCTATGTTGAAGGCTCTGGAACGAGTTGGATGTCGAGCATGCGTTCCTACAGAAACTTCGTCCGACGCCAACGGCTTGTGTCCTTTTTCTCTGCAGACAGTAGAAACGTCCAGCCCAGAGTAGTTCCGAGCTACGACTTTTTGTTTTGAACGTCAGCTCGGAGCCGGGGACCCTCGGAATCAGGTAAATCAGGGTCATTCTGAGATGGCCACTAGCAAACCTTGAGCCCGACTCCGTTCTGACCAAGGGCTTTAGCCTGAAACAGCAAGTCCACATGTTACGAGCACTCGGCTGATGCACGGGACAGCTGATGCTGGGAAAGTTAAAAACGACTGGCACCCGACGCAGGACACAGTTGCCTTCAGCGTGTCTACTGTGACTATGCAACTAGGGTTGGTAGGGCGGTTACTTGTTAGGGTTATGAGGGTAGGGTTGTCACTATCTACACGACAACTTGTGACGCGTGCCTGCATCTGGGTCCAAGAACCAGTCGCACAAAGAGTTTTGGTCTGTACGTCAGTCACATGTGCTCTAGGAGCTAAAGTAAACAGGCTTGCTGCCATCATCATCGGACTTGCGACGGCGGCGGCCTCCGTCCTTGCCATCGTCATCGTACTTGCGCCGGCGGCCTCCGTCCGCGCCATCGTCATCGGACTTTCGGCGGCGGCCTCCATCCGTGCCATCGTCATCGTACTTCCGGCGGCGCCCTCCATCCGTGCCATCGTCATCGTACTTGCGGCGGCGGCCTCCATCCGTGCCATCGTCATCGTACTTGCGGCGGCGGCCTCCATCCTTGCCATCGTCATCGGACTTGCGGCGGCGGCCTCCATCCGTGCCATCGTCATCGTACTTGCGGCGGCGGCCTCCATCCGTGCCATCGTCATCGTACTTGCGGCGGCGCCCTCCATCCTTGCCATCGTCATCGGATTTGCGGCGGCGGCCTCCGTCCGTGCCATCGTCATCGTACTTGCGGCGGCGGCCTCCATCCTTGCCATCGTCATCGTACTTGCGGCGGCGACGGCCTGCACGGGTTTAGAAGCTCGGCTGGTATTTATTCTTGCGGGGCATCGGGAGCTGTGTGCGGGGCGTGGGGATCCCGATTACCAAGGGCCTTACCATTTGTACTTTACACTAGGGTTTGCAAGAGGGGTGGTTTCATACAGTTTGACCAGGAGGTGAACAGAAACTGTTCGGGCGGGGAACATTTCAACTTACATGAAGCAAGCAGTACTATTTAAGAGTGGCTGGGAGTCGGAGCAACCCCCCCCCTGGCTTTGATCGTGTGACAAATGTTGAACGGCTTCATACGCAAAGCTGCAAGGAGGTTTAAGGCTTAGAGCTGATAAGCGCTTAGGCAGTCTAGGGCTTAGGGTTTGATGAGGACGGGCTTCGGACTTGGGGCTTAGGGCTGTTAGGCAGTTTGGGGGTTTAGGGGGTTTAGGGGGTTTACGGGGTTTACGGGGTTTACGGGGTTTAGGGGGTTTAGGGGGTTTAGGGGGTTTAGGGGGTTTAGGGGGTTTAGGGGGCTTAGGGTTTAATCGTTCACACTCGGACATGCCTGGCGAGGCACACAGGCACACTTTGTCCCATGGTAGGGTTTAGGGCAGTTTAGGGTTTAGGGGACATGGAGTGCAAAGTTTCGGGTTCGGGGCCTAAAGGCCTAGCAGCTTGAGTGCCCTGGCCCGGTTTAGGGTCTCTGGTTAGGATATAAGGTTTACGGCTCAGGCCCTGGGGCTTAGGGTTGTGGGTTTAGACGGGTTTAGAATGAAGGTTTTGCGGCTTGCGGGGCCTCCATCACCATCATCATCCTTGCCGCCATCGTCGTCCTTGCGGCGGCGTCGGCCTCCGTCACCATCGTCGTCCTTGCGGCGACGCCCTCCATCACCGTCGTCGTCCTTGCGGCGTCGACGGCCTCCATCACCGTCGTCGTCCTTGCGGCGTCGACGGCCTCCATCACCGTCGTCGTCCTTGCGACGTCGCCGGCCTCCATCATCATCGTCGTCCTTGCGGCGTCGACGGCCTCCATCCTTGCCATCGTCATCGTACTTGCGGCGGCGACGGCCTCCATCACCATCGTCGTCCTTGCTGCCATCATCAACGTCGTCGTCTTTGCGGCGGCGGCGACGGCCTCCATCCTTGCCATCGTCATCGTACTTGCGGCGGCGTCGTCCACCATCGTCCTTGTTGTCGTCGAGATCATCATCATCGTCGGGAGTGGTATCATCATCGTCGGGAGTGGTTGGCTCCTCGGTGGTGGTTGACTCCTCGGTGGTCGTGGTTTTGTACTGCTTCACGGTGGTGGTGGTTGGCTCCTCGGTGGTCGTGGTTTTGTACTGCTTCACGGTGGTGGTGGTTGGCTCCTCGGTAGTCGTGGTTTTGTATTGCTTCGCGGTGGTGGTTGGCTCCTCGGTGGTGGTTTCCTCCTCGGTGGTCGTGGGCTCCTCGGTGGTGGTTTCCTCCTCGGTGGTCGTGGGCTTCTCGGTGGTCTTGTAGTCGCCCCCCTCGGTGATCATGCGTGTCTTATGGTTTCAATACGAACCACCCACCTGGGCGTAATGCTATTTACTACTCATCCGTAAATGAGTCGGTTGTGAAGGCCTACCGCCAACCTTAGCAAGATGAGGTGAGCAAGGTGCTGCGCATGAGTCGCAGTACTCGCCCAAAGCATCCACGATGACATCCACGCAGTCCTTGCATCGTCTCGGGCTTGGGCCCGGGGGGCGAGCTCTGACACAAGCTTCTTGGATTGAGATTCCGGGTTTGGCAGTGAGTGTAGCAGACTTCAGGCTACGACTCTTTCATGGGCCAATGGGCCTCTTGTGCTTACGTTAGGTGCTTGAATCAATCCAGGATGCCTTCTTTCGGGCTGTGCTCACCCTTCACAACTTGATGAACACACGGAGAAGTAAGTCTCTTAAGGATCATGCTGCTCCAAACTCCACGGCTCAGAAGACGTATTGCCTGTGATAGCCCACAGATACAACGAGATATAGGGGCCTGAATAATTAGATTACGGTTTGGGGGGTTTCTGTAGTAGAAAATATGAGGGACCCGAAGGAAATACTATTAGAAATTATTCCGACCCCTAAATTACATCTGAGGCTTCTCGCTTAAGAAATCCCCCATTGCCCGTATAAGGAAAAGCATCTTTACTTTTTGGGGTGAGTTCTTAAGCAAATAGTAGAGTCCCTCTTGGACTTGGCAGATGACGCCGAGTCTCGGTGCACTTGGACAGGCAGTGGCTGTCCCCTGCTGCTCCCAACGCCTCGGCTGAGAGGGAACATGGGTAGATGATCCCTTCCTCTGCTGATTTTCAGGTTTTAGGGTTTAGGGTTTAGGGTTTGGGGTTTGGGGTTTAGGGTTTTTTGTAGTGTTTAGTGCTTAGGGTTTTTAGCAGCTAAAGTGTCCTGATTTACACTGGGACCCGCAATGGCAAGCAAAGCTCGCCAAGGGGTTCCACTCCTTGACCTTCATACCCTGCTGGGATTTTTTGGCGGGCAGTCGAGAAACCTCATGAGATTTCCCTCAACCCTAAACCCTGAACCCTAAACCCTGAACCCTAAACCCTAAACCCTAAACCCGCCTCTTAGGCTTGAAGTGGGTCCTGGGTGCCCACGGTTGACCCTACGTTCTGGTGCCGTTGCTGGGGGGGGTAGGCAGGCTTGAGGGCTGCTTGTTCTGACTAATCCTCCTTCTCCTCCCACTCCTGCCCCTACTTCGCCCTCCTCCTGCTCCTACGACGACGACTACGGAAATGACGACTAAAGGCTTTGGCGCATGGTTTGGCGCATGGCCCGGGCCATGGTACCCTAGGTAGCATAGGGTTTGGGCTGCCTCCATGGGCTTCGGGCTGGACTCTTCAAGGGTTATAAGGCCTCTCTTCGAGTTTCCTTCACGCGCAGAGGGTGCCAAAACGGAGCCAAATTTTCTTGGCTCTGCAAGCTTTGCTGTTGGTGGAGGGTTGAGGAAGCAGTGGATTTCGCCGGCGGAACCATAAACAGGACCGAACTTTGAGCATTCTGCACCCAAGATTTTGCATAAGTGCACACATGCCCGCATTCGAAGAACCCATTCCAACCTGTCATCTGCTAGGTACAAACGACAAGTAGGTACGTCACGGCAGCACCGTTGGCGAAATGAAAGGAAACCATCATCGGCTTTCTTCCTGGCCCTTGCTACTGCTGCTCTCTTGGCCGCCCAATCCCAACATCATCCCCCGCGGCTGCAACAAAGACCTGAAGCCGAAGGCCCCTGAATCCAGACGCGTCTCCTCGCAGAAGCCCGAGCACACGTCGCCTTCCGTCAGGCAGCCCCCCCGCTTTGTAGCATTCACCTGAGCTTTGAGGGGTGAGGCTTGAGGCGTACTGGTTTCGTAAGGCCCGGCGCCGGTCTAAGCCCTAAACCCTAAACCACCTACTCATTCGGGCTGCCTGAAATGTCGTTTGACTTAGACAGACTCAGACAACGGCACACATTGGTGTCTGCGTCCTTTGTGCAGTGCTGCCAGGTTTTAGCAATCAGGGGCGGGGGGAGGGGGGAGGGGGGAGGGGGAGGTACGGTGGCCCAACTCTCCTCTTACTCCCGAATTCCCCCAGGCTTCGAGCCTGGGCCGCCGAGAGCGTGCCTCGTGGCGAGAGGGCTTCTTAACGCAGGCCCACAGATTCCACAAGAAGGGTCTCAACGGTCTCAACACATGCCTGGCCCCGAGGCCCTAAATCTGACAAAGGCCGCAAAGCTCTCGCAACAGCTGAGCCACACGATGCCTAACCTGTGTACAGAGATGCATGGCGCACACAAGAGCCCTGTTCACAGAACCGCATCTACGAGCTCACGCGAGCTGAATCCGGAGGTGCGTCCGGCCTTCCCGGCTGGGTTTCTGCAGCAAGCCCGTCGCTTCAGACTCCTGAAGGCCCCCCCAGCTTACAACTCAAAACAAACAGAGTGGTGCGGCCTCTCCTAGCAAGGTCAACGGCTTGAGGTTCTCAGGTGTTTTTTTAAACTTACGCTGTTGGGCTCAGGACAGCATCCCGGGTCCTGGATGAAGCAAAGGTCCCGAGAACCTGGGCATGTCGGCCAATGCCATGCCGGAAGTTGCTTGTTGGAGTTGGTATCGGGGTCGGAAGAACTACTCATACTATTCCCCTATTGTACCTTTATAGGTACTACTATCATATAAAGGGCTTGAGGCCGAGGGCTCTCAGTTCCCGAGGGAAGGCGTTTTTTTGGCGCCCAGGGGGGGGGGGGGGAGCTGATCTAAGAGTGTGAGCCCTTGCTTAGTCCAAGCACATTTCACGGCCGGGCATTCAAGTCGCGATGGGAGCTTCAGGTTGGTCTCAGGGAGTTTGATCTTGGGGTTCGGTGGGCTCCGGCGGCTTCGGGGCTTAGGTCAAAAAGTACCTCATAGGACAAGTCCGCACCCTGGGAACTCATGAAGCTAAGCGACAGAAATCTTGTCCGGCGGCCATCATGCCCTCCACGATGTGTTTGTGCCGCTTGGACGTGCTGGCACAGTGCTTCGCCAGGCACCAGTTGGCGCTTTTCGCGTTCTTGGCAGGCCACGCAGGTTGAACTTTTCGTACAAAAGCACATCGACGTAAACGTGCATTATATATATATATATTTATATCCGCCAAGGCCTCGATGGCACCCCTTGTTTTGGATTTTTGGCCTAGAATGGGTCCCCCCTAGCCGACAAGTGTCCGGGAGCAGACGGTGCATCAGGACCAGGGGCACTTCAGCCTACCACAAGCCCCCCAACCCGCCCGAAATGCCCCCCCCCCCCCCCCAACCTCACTCCCCCTGCCTGTCCGTAACAAAATCTCAACATGCAGAGGTTACAGCCGATTGCAGCCTCAGAAATCCTCATCTGGGCTTCCTTCCTAGTTTATGGAAAAACTGCTTCTATATAAGAAGCCCAGACCCTAGGAAAATAGCTCCATACTTAAAGGCCACACCCTATGAAATCCTCTTTTCGGCCTCTGGGCCCTCTTAATATTTCAGTAGACTTGTGTATGATAAAGCCACAGCTTCGTTCGTAATTAAACCGAAGTACAACAAGCATATTCTGAGGCCCCGCCCCAAGACATCCTCTTCTAAGCCTCATTGGTTATTGCCTACTCGGAATTATATATTACAGACCACACCCTGTGAAACCGTCCTCTGGCCCCTTTCGTAACGAAACGTAATTTGATTTTGAATTGTAAACCCACACCCTAAGAAATCCTCTTCTGGGCTTCGTTCGTAATTAAACCCAAGTAAAGCAAACATATATATTAAGAGGCCAACCCCAAGACATCCTCCTCGCAATTAAACCGAGTTAGAATGTATATTGCAGACCACGCCCTATGAAATCCCTTTCTGGCCCCTATTTGTAATGAAGCTTAATTAGAAGCCTGTATTATACAGCCACACCCCAAGAAATCCTCATTAGAGCTTCGTTTGACATTAGACTTATTTTCGATTTGCCTAGATGCTTGTATGAAAACAGCCACACCATTCTGGGGCCTGCTCGTAACAGAATCTCATAAGTTCGGAATTCTAGGTAAGAAGCCCACGCCCTAAGAAGTTCTGATCTAGGCTTCGCTCGTATGCAACTTTTGGACAGACCTTTATATCATCTTGTGAGCCCCCATTCGTATTTAAATGTTTCTTGCAATTCCATATTTAACAGCCACACCCTATGAAATCCTCTTCTTCTTCCTCTTTATGGAATGTCAACAGACTTGTGTATGATAAAGCCACAGCTTCATTCGGAATTAAACCCAAGTAAAACAAACATATTAAGAGGCCACAATCCAAGACATCCTCTTCTAAGCCTCATTGGTTATTGCCTATTTGGAATCATATATTGCAGACCACACCCTATGAAATTCTCCCCTGGCCCCGCTTCGTAATGAAATGTAATTTGAGGTTTGTAAAAAACAAAACACCACACCCCAAGAAATCCTCATCTGGACTCGTTTGTAATTCGACTTAAATTGGATTTTTAAATTAAGAGGCTACCCCCCTTGGACAGAATCTTAAAGGCCACACCCTAAGATGGCATCTTGTGAGCCCTCATTCGTGTTCAAATGTACCTAGCATTCTATCTTCAACGGCCACACCCTATGAAATCCTCTTCTGAGGCCTCTTAATGTCATGTCAACAGACTTGTGTATGATAAAGCCACAGCTTCGTTCGTACAAGAAACCAAGTAAACAAAAGCATATTTAAGAGGCCGAGCCCTTCTAAGCCTCATTCGTTAGTACCTCTTTGGAGTTTTTTCCCGACCACACCCTGTAAAAAATGCTCCTCTGGCCTCGCTTCGTAATGAAAATGTACTTTGAGGAAAAATCCTCATCTGGACTTCGTTTGTAATTCCACTTAAGTAGACTTTTAATTTAAGAGGCCACACCCCTTGTCATCCTCTTCTAAGCCCCACTCATCATTAAGTCTCATTAGACTTTTGAATTGCAGGTCCACACCCTCAGAAACACACCCTAAGAAACACTCTCTTAAACTTGATTTCTTTTCATATTACTTTTATTTTCGGACGCCACGTCCCAAGACATCCTCTTGTATTCCTGATTCGTAATTAGATCTAATGGAACTTTACATGTTAACGCCACGCCCTACATGCCCAAAAACCCAAGGTACAACCTTAAGGTCCAAGGCAAAACCCCTAGACAGGGTGACTGCACGAATTTTGAGTTAGCGGAGATGAGGGCATGACGATTGATGGCGCGACGAAGCGCAGGCCGTGTCGCCTAAGACCCTAACCCCTATAAACCCTAAACTAACCCTAAGCCCTAAACCCCAACCACAAGAGACCCCATAACTCTAAGCCCCTAAGCCCTAAGCCCTATATACATGTGTACATATGTATATATATATATATATATACAGATACATGTATGGCATGACAAAGCATAGCATAATATAGCAGAGCAAAACATTACTCGGCGTTACTTTGCATCACATACATGCATATGCATGCATGAACATCACATCTACGGTACATCATATCAGACGTGCGTATACATATATACATATATATATATATGTATAGTTGTGTATTTGTTCATTTATCCATGTTTATATATACATAGACACTGATATGAAGAAAAAAGCAAAAGAAAAAAACAAAAAAAACTCCAAAGAGATCCTGCCAGACAAGTCTCCGGCAGCATGTCCTGCGAGCACATAATACGGCAGACCCATTTGGACGAATCGCAGGTCTTCTCACCGGCGTGGTAAGCGATGGCCGGGCAAGAAGTGGCCAGGGATGGCACGAGCCACCTCAGATCCCAAGTGCAATTTGGCTTTTGGTAGAACGTCCCTTCTAGGATATCGTGCGTGGTGTCGGCAGGGCTTCACTTGCGGGAAAGCCCGCTTGACTATCACTAGGCCTACACCTGTTTGCTGATTTGCTCTTGCTGTTCCCCGACGTTCTTCCCCTGGCCTTTCCTCTCATGGCTCCTGAATCCATCAGCCGCCGGCAGCCCCCACATGTAAGTTGTACCCTAAACCCTAAACCCTAAACCCTAAACCCCAAACCCCAAACCCTAAACCCCAAACCCTAAACCCTAAACCCTACGAACTCGTGGGCTCCAGGGGCTGCGCCGAGACGCGTGAGCAGGAGGGCGATCTCCCGCTTCATGATGCCGCCGTCTCTACAATGGCAGCTAGAGGGGGTGTGATCTGACAGCTGCGGCAGTTCAGGGTTTAGGGTTTAGGGTTTAGGGTTTAGGGTTTAGGGTTTAGGGTTTAGGGTTTAGGGTTTAGGGTTTAGGGTTTAGGGTTCAGGGTTTAGGGTTCAGGGTTCGGGGTGCTCTTTGCTGGCTTCGGGGGCCCAGACACCCGCAGGGCAGTTCGGAGCGGCAACGGGCTGAGGGCGGTTAGGGCGGTTAGGGTCCAGGATACTATTCTTCTTATTATTGTTTTATTGTTATTTACTGTCATTATTATTGTTACTATAATTGCTATTATTATTATGATTATTCTTATTATTAGGGTTCCAGGATGATGTCCTGCGTCTACTATGTACTATAATACTATTCTTCTCATTATTGGTTTATTGTTATTTTATTTTTTTACAATTATGATTATTCTTATTATTGGTTTATTGTTATTTACTGTCATTATTATTGTTACTATAATTGCTATGATTGTTAGGATTATTCTTATTATTAGGGTTCCAGGGTACATTGCAACCCGAATGCCGCGCCCATTGCTGGAATCCGGCGCCTGCTCGAGCTGGCTCTGGCGCACAATGTCTTGCGCTTCCAGCTTCAACATCGACACCTGAGGGTTTAGGGTTTAGGGTTTAGGGTTTAGGGTTTAGGGTTTAGGGTTCAGGGTTCAGGGTTCAGGGTTTAGGGTTTAGGGTTTATCGATCTGAGTTGTGGCTGCTTTGGGAGGGGGGGAAGGAGAGAAAAAAGGAAGGCAGAGAGCGAGGGATGGGAGGAATGGATGCTTCTGCATACTTTTGGTTCGGTTGGAGTTGGGAGATGGAGGATGGCAAGGCGGCAGGCGCTGCTTCTCTTTGGACTTTGGGGAACGACGAGCAACCACATCTGCCCTAGGGCAGCACAGCAGTTCACTGCCACTGCTATCATTCCAAAGATAGCGGAATTGTTGTCTTTTGTTTTTGGGGGTTCTTACAAACAGACCCTAAACCCTAAACCCTAAACCCTGAACCCTAAACGCGCCCAGCATCAGAGCCAGGCACCTCCTCCTCCAGCTGCTGCTTGCGGTTGGCTTCGCGCTTCAGGCGCTTCGCCTCCCCCCAGTTAGAGCCAGCTGAGGTCTCACCGAAGCCGTAGGGTTTATAGAAATTGTGTAGGGTTTGTGTCCGGGGTTTTGAGGGGGTTTTGACCGGTTTTGACCTGGTTTTGACCGGTTTTGACCGGTTTTGACCGGTTCTGGCCGGTTTTTTCTTTTGCTTTTGAACAAAGTTGCGATGGCTTTCCAGGCCTGGGGGAGGTGGGGGGAGGGGGGATGGGGGGTGGGGGCTTGGTCTGGGGCTGGGGGGGGGCTGGGGTTGGGGCTGGGGGCTGAGGTTGGGGCTGGGGTTCTTTTTTTCGCTCATAATGAAACGCCTACAATTTCTATTTATCCTGGCCTTGGGGGTTTAGGGTTTAGGGTTTAGGGTTTAGGGTTTAGGGTTTAGGGTTTAGGGTTTAGGGTTTAGGGTTTAGGGTTTGGGGTTTGGGGTTTGGGGTTTGGGGTTTGGGGTTTGGGGTTTGGGGTTTGGGGTTTGGGGTTTGGGGTTAGGGTTAGGGGTTAGGGGTTAGGGTTTAGGGTTTAGGGCTTAGGGTAGGGTTTAGGGTTTCGGGTGTGGGCCTTCAGGGCTTCAGGGCTTCAGAGGGGCATGGACGGCTTAGGGCTTACGGTGTTTCAGGGCTTGAGGTAGATGGAGAAGGATCCAGAGCGTTGCAGACATGAGGGGGTCAGTGGAATCAAGATTTTCTATGAAACCCGAAACTCTAAACCCTAAACAATCCTAAACCCTAAATAAACCCCAACCCTGAGCTGATGCCCTCAAGGAGAGAGACGGAGAGAGGCGGAGAGAGGGAAATTGCCCCTTGAACATTCGGGCGGCAGATGCTTTCTACTTGTCGCGTACAGGATGCCCAACATTGACCCCAAACCTCCAAGCCAAAAGCCACCAAGCAAACCTAACCAGCCAACTACCACACAATTCTAGCCCGCAAATTCACCCGTTCCAAGCCTCAACCCTGCAATATCTTACCCTGAAATATCGGGGTGCGCGCTTTTGTAGAGTTTTACGAAGTCATATATATGTATATACATATACATATACATATACATATACATATACATATACATATACATATACATATACATATACATATACATATACATATACATATACATACACATACACATACACATACACATACACATACACATACATACATACATACATACATAGATACATACATACATACATACATACATCTACATCTACATCTGCAGATACACATACACATACACATGCACATACACATACACATACACAATACACATGTACATGTACATGTACATGTACATGTACATGTACATATACATATACATATACACACATATATATGTATATACATGCTATATACCCAATGTTATAAACATTTAATCGTCATAATCTGGCAATATTCCTGGAGGGATTACGTCAATGCAACAACCAGCATCTATGCTATGCGTTCGCTCCTTAGTTGCTCGATAATGCTTCAATCGGCTTCCATTACTTCACAAGAATACTTAGGCAATGTTCTTTCTTCTCTTTGTCTACCAACTTTTATTGACAAATCCAAGTATCTATCTATGCATGATTTTAAAGAACTACTTGAAATGACTTGTTCTGACAGGATAGGTATGATGGTGTAGCATGTGATTCCAAACATGTTTCTCAGCAAACAGTTTAACCTCATCCGGGTGATTTATTACCCTAGCAGTGACTCACAGATTCTGCAGTTTGATCATACCTATCAGCATTTAGAAGTCCTTGGAACTCTTCAAGTCGTCCAGACATTCTTATTGAACACAGACAGTGTTTTACAAGTAGTTCACGTTTTCCACAAATATGTGGACGGTACATAATAATGGAATTTAAGCACGCATCACGCTATTTTCAAAATACCTAGTATTTGACAATAGATGATTTGCACATCGCACCGGAATCAACTCATATAACTGAGACATAAAATCATAGCCATCTAACCTAAATTTCGATCTTGTTCGGTTGTATTCTTAAAATAAATAATTTGAACTGTCATTACTAGTCGCAAGATCTCTCTCTGTTGACTTTAAACTACTAAGTTCGTAAACAGATTTTACTGCTTTAAACTGACATCATCTCAGTCCATGAGGGGTCTAGGGTTTAGGGTTTAGGGTCTAGCGTTTTGGGTTTAGGGTTTAGGGGTTTAGGGTTTGGGGTTTGGGGGTTTTTGGGGTTTGGGGTTTGGGGTTTGGGGTTGGGGTTTGGGGTTTGGGGTTTGGGGTTTGGGGTTTGGGGTTTGGGGTTGGGGTGGGGTTTGGGGTTTGGGGTTTGGGGTTTGGGGTTTGGGGTTTGGGGTTTGGGGTTTGGGGTTTGGGGTTTGGGGTTCATATAGGGTTGGGAGCAGTGCAGTCGGAGCCAGCCAAAATGCCTCGATCTGCGAAGTGAGGCAGCTGTGAAGCTCTGATCTCGCCTGCATGTGCCCGAACCCTCAACCAGCATGAGGGCAGGCATGTTTGGGATCTAGGGTTGGGACTTTTGCGGGATGTGCGTGACTCCAAACCCCCTGCGAAAAGCCTTCGGGCCTGAGCCCTGGGTTTGGGGTTTAGGGTTTAGGGTTTAGGGTTTCGGGTTTAGGGTTTTGGTTTAGGGTTTAGGGTTTAGGGTTTAGGGTTTAGGGTTTAGGGTTTAGGGTTTAGGGTTTAGGGTTTAGGGTTTAGGGTTTAGGGGTTTAGGGTTTAGGTTTAGGGTTTAGGGTTTAGGTGTTTAGGGTTTAGGGTTTAGGGTTTAGGGTTTAGGGTTTAGGGTTTAGGGTTTGGTTTAGGTTTAGGGTTAGGGTTTAGGGTTTAAGGGTTTAGGGTTTAGGGTTTAGGGTTTAGGGTTTAGGGTTTAGGGTTTAGGGTTTAGGGTTTAGGGTTTAGGGTTTAGGGTTTAGGGTTTAGGGTCCCTCAACCTGATGAGGGTACAAACGCCACATCCCCTGAAACCCCTCAACCCTAAACCCTCAAAATGCAGCCAAAAAGGCCTCAAGCATCCCTCGAACTAACCCTTGACACCCTCAACCCCAAACCCCATACCCTGAACCAAAGACCCTAACCCCAAACCCTAAACCCTAAACCCCAAACCCTAAACCCCAAACCCTAAACCCTAAACCCTAAACCCCAAACCCTAAACCCTGAACCCCCAAAAGGCCGCACTCTCGAGCCTCGTGGGTTCCCAGCACCGTTGCGGGCCGAGGTCGGCCTGTGTCCAGCATGTAATGGTAACGGCTTCAGGAGTAGGAGGGCTTAGGGTTTAGGGTTTAGGGTTTAGGGTTTAGGGTTTAGGGTTTAGGGTTTAGGGTTTAGGGTTTAGGGTTTAGGGTTTAGGGTTTAGGGTTTAGGGTTACCGGGTTTAGGGTTTAGGGTTTAGGGTTTAGGGTTTGGGGTTTCAGCATTCGGGCTAACGGCTTAGGGTTTAGGGCTTAGGGCTAAGGACTTTCGGGCGGCTATGTAGGGCTGCTCTTAATAATTTGAACCCAGGGCAGCTGATGCTCGTGACGGTCGGCCACTCGATGGTTCTATGCAAGAAGCTGATGCTGCACTGAGATCATCCGCTCCACCCCCCCCCTTCCGCCCCCAAAAACACACATTCGTCATTTGAGGAGCAGGAACGGATATGCATGACAGGGCTCTGGAAGGAGGGTCTGAGGTTGGAGAGCTTCGACGCTTGGACTCAAAGTTTGCTTCCTGTTGCATGGTCTTGGGGGCGACTTTGGCTTTGGCATCCTTGCCTGTACGCAGCACGGTGGACCCCAACAAAACCCCCTAAACCCTAAACCCTAAACCCTAAACCCTAAACCCTAAACCCTAAACACCACGCTGACCCCTCTCATCGCCTGCCAGCAACTTGTCCTGCAGGAGGTCGTCGGAAATCTGCGAGGCGCACTCCTCCTGGCCCAACGCAGCTGTAGGGTTTAGGGTTTAGGGTTTAGGGTTTAGGGTTTAGGGTTTAGGGTTTAGGGTTTAAGGACCCCGGCTGTTGGATCACCGTGGAGGGTTAAGGCAGATGCTCCTAGAGACGTCACGGCGACAGCAAATCCTTGAAGCTTCAAATGCGACGGGAAGGTGCCCAAACACCCATGCTGGCCCCCAAAGGAAACTAGGATTCCGCTGTACACCCCGACTTCCAAATCCAAGGATTCGAAAGACCCGCTAATTTTCGGAAACCCCCCCCCCCCCCAAAAAATGGGGCGTTTACGAAATTGGGGGTTTGCGAACACAGGGGACCCCTTAACATGTTTCCCCAAATAGTAGGATTCCCTTATAATAAGACCCCAATAATAAGGTACCCCAAAAATTTCGGAAACCCCCAAAACCCTAAACCCTAAACCCTAAACCCTAAGCCTCAAGCCTCACGGCTGTGAGAAAACCGAGTGGGGCTCGTCTCCTTAAGGTTGGAGGTCAGCAAATCTCGCCGGTGCTCCGAAACGCCTGCCTCCCGCTGGGTTCAGAGGGTTGAGGGTTAGGGTTTAGAGGGTAGAGGGTTTAGGGTTGAGGGTTTTGGGCTTAGGGTTTAGGGTTTAGGGTTGGGGTTCCAGGACCTTCCAGAAGTGAGTTCAAGAGCGCCTTGCGCGGAGTTGACTTCGTCGAAGTCGTGGTGAAACCTCACTGGAGGCAGGAGACCTACATGGTCCCAAAGAGCCCCACACCCTTCGTCAAAGAACATAGCCCCCCTTTCCCTGTGTAACCACCGCATCTTTCGCGACGTTAAGGGGCATTGGGGGGGCTCTCTGGGATCGAGGGTCCAAGGCTGCCGTAGGGCCCTGAAAATCCCTTCAAAGCCTTGCCCCCCCAAGCCCTTCAAAAGCCCTCTACAACACCACCCTAAGCCCTAACCCCAAGCCCCAAGCCCTAGGGAATAGGCCGAGGTCCCTGGCTCTCGGCGCGTTCCGCAGCGTCCTGCTTCCGGCGGGCTTGGCGGTCCTCCGGGGTGTTGATGCTGGGCTTGATCGAAGTTCTAGGCCTCTCGGCGTGTAGAATGGTATATCATATACCCTCTGCTGGTCACTTCTCTAAACTATGGTCCCTTTTGGGGTCCTTATGATATGGCGGCCCCTCTTCTTCAAGGTACCCAAAAAGGGACCATAATTTAGAGAACGGACGAATGCAAGGAAGAGAGCTGAATGTACGTGAACCTATCATCGGATGCTTCCAGGGTTTGGGGTTGATCTACGTCAACAACCTGTTTTTGGGAAGACTTGATACTCTCAGGAATACTGCTTAAGGTGCAGATTCTAAGATGTAACGCAGGCTTGGGAGTCACAGGGAGCTTCGGCTTTAGGCTCCGGAGGCCAATGCCCGCAAGCGCACCCTACAACCCCCAGCGTCTTGACAAGGCATGTGCGAAAAATGTTCGAAGCTTTCTGTGTCTCCATAGATCAGCAGCTCTGCGCACAAAAAACCGTCCACACCTCCATTTGCTTGACCAGGAAGTCAGCATTCTCTCTCCTGCGCTCACTGAACTTGGCCCTGTCATCTTCACGTGGACTTGCAAGGAGAACTGCTGGAGGGCTGTTGAGAGGCAAAGGAAAAGGAAACCTAAACCCTAAACCCTAAACCCTAAACCCTAAACCTAGGATTTGCAGGCTGTCGCTTCGGCAGAGTTTCGGAGTCGCCTTCAACAACAAAGCCACTGGCCGGGCGCCCGACAGCTTCGCCACGCGCTGGCGGCGTTCGTCGATCTCCTCCAGTGGCCATCCACTCGCTGAGACGCCGTGCAAGTGGTGGGATCCGACATTGGGCCTAGGAAGAAAAGAACCAACCGAAAGGTTCCGACAGCCCGTATCACTATAAGCCCTCCTAACCTTGGGCTTGCCAACAAGACTTGGCGGCTCCAGCCCGCTCTCCGGCTCCGTCCTACTCATACTACACCTCCACCGAACACTCCTAAACCCTAAACCCTAAACCCTAAACCCTGAACCCTAAACCCTAAACCCTGCCTTCTGCTTGAGTGTGAGCTTGTTCTCCTCCGTCTTGCGGTTGAGCGCCTCCGGCCGGGCTTCTGCGCCCAAACCCGAGGCAAGACTGAACCCCTCAACCCCAGATACCCAGAATGGCCGCTCCTCTAAGTTATGGTCCCCCTGACTGGCCATCCCAAAAAGAAGGACCATGATCCAGACAACCGACCATCTGCCAACACCCCAGCGCCGCTCGGGCTTCACAGAAAGAGCCCCAGCCTGTGAAGCTCTGTTTTCGAGCTGCCTGGCACTGGCGGGGGGACCCTAAGCTTCCCGAAGCCTAAACACCCCTACATGGAGGTTCAGAGGACTTCTGACTCCAACTACAACTGTACTTAGGAGCCCCCCCGAAGTCCTTCAAGTAGGCTAGAAGTAGGCCTATCATCGGGGAAATAAGTGCCCATAAACCCCGACAAGTAAGCCCCCGAAAGGCTCTGGGAGCCCCCGGGAACCCCAGAAGTATCGAGGAAGTCCCATGCCAAGCCCCCGAGTTCCCACCCCTGGCAACCCTAAACCCTGAACCCTAAGCCCTTCTGAGCATCCCTCCAAGTGGATCCTCGACGAGTTTTTGGTGACCCAAAAAAAAAACAAAGAAAACCCCGAGCTGCCTGATGTGTCGCACCAGGCACTGGTCCAAGCAGACCTGGATGTCGTTGCACCTGCTCGACGAGAACCGATGCTGCTTAGGGGGCCTGGGGGGGCTTTCGGCTTGTAGAGGGGGGTTCTGAAAAAGGCCCTCCCCAAAAGCCCAAGAGCCCTGAACAGAGGTTTACAAGCAACCCCACCCCCCCCCCGGGGTACACGTGCAGATCTTCCCAACCCAGGGCCCTGCCCACCCAAAGCCGAAAGTGCAAAACCAAGGAGGCCTGGGCGACGACGTCTGCTCTTCTTCGTAGGCCTGCAGCAGTGACTCCTTTACTATGGTGATTATGACGATCGTCATCAAGGGATGAGTGGATGATGTCATCAGAACTCTTGGGCTTGTGCGCTGAGCCCCGTCGATGAACCCCGAAGCCGAGCCTGCTTTCCTTTGGCGGCCAGCGTGGGCTTCGGAGACCTCGCCGGACTCTGCGACGCATGCCCCACCCCAGGAGGTCCAAGTGGACGCGGCACAATGTGGCTACAATGCGGCGACCACCAGTCCCAGCTGAGGACCTGAACCCGGCAACTGCGTGACATTCGGAAACTTCTGGGTGTGCCACCGTGAAGCAGAGAGATAGAGAGATATAGAGGTTGGAGATGGCGAGAGTGAGAGAAAGGCGAAAGGCAGAGGCAGGAAAGAAGAAGGCGGAATTCCAGAATCGCGGAGGTCCTAACCCGGCACCAGACTCCGGGCGTGCAACGAGGGTTGTAGGGCGTCTTTCCCTCGAGGGCCCGACAAGAGAAAAAAAGAGCCCTGAGTCCCCTAAACCCTAAACCCTAAACCCTAAACCCTAAACCCTAAACCCTAAACCCTAAACCCTAAACCCATCCTTACTTGGCATCTTGCATGGGCGTCTCGCCCGCGCGGGTCGCAGGCCGTGGGGGAAGCGGCCTCCGCTCCGGCAAAAGATGAGCAGTGCAGTGCTCTCTTCTCGGGGAGTTAGGGTTTAGGGTTTTGGGTTTGGGGTTTAGGGTTTCGGGTTTAGGGTTTAGGGTTTAGGGTTTAGGGTTTAGGGTTTAATTAGGGTTTCGTTTGAGGGCTTGGCCGGGTCTACTGTTCATCTGAATAAATTTACAGGGGCATGTCCGAAGCACCACATCACCCCTCTCGCATTCCTCCCACCGCAACTCCTAGCCCTTCAACCCCCAACGCCCCCCTAAACCCGAAATCCCACCACCCGAAGCCTCCGCACCCCCAAAGCCCCTTTCCTGAATCCCCTGGACGTTATGCCGGGGTGCGTCTGTGGGCCCAAAGAAGTGGGCCTCCTGGCAGGCTTTCGAGCTGAAAAGCTTGTGGCTTCGGAGCGTCTCTGTGCCTTATCAACAGGACCCGGTCCTGTTCTCGGATTCCTTACAACAGATTCCGGCCCTCCCACTCCAAGCCCTTGAACTGCTTGGGATCCCCATCCTTCGGTTGCGCGCGAGGCGCAGCTCCCATGGTCGAAGGGGATTAGGGTCGAGGAGCTCAAGGACTTCAAGCCCCCCCAAAGCCCTAAACCCTAAGCCCTACTTAGCCCTAAGGCCTGCGCCCTAAGCCCTACGCCCTAAGCCCGAAGTCCTAATGCCCAAGCCCCTAAACCCCTAAAGCCCCTAAGCCCCTAAGCCCCTAAGCCCCCAAGCCCCTAAGCCGAAAAGGCCCCTAAGCCCCTAGGCCCTGTTGGGATCTGGCTGGGGCTCAAGGAAAAGGCCTGGCGGTCGCCGGAGGCGTGGCCACGCCCTGGGGGGGCCTCGGACTCAAGAGAGCTGCTTCAGGGTTTAGGGTTTAGGGTTTGGGGTTGAGGGTTGAGGGTTTAGGGTTAGGGTTTAGGGTTAGGGTTTAGGGGAGTTGACGGTTTAGACTCTGGTGTTCCTAGATGGGAAACTTCTTTGTTACCCCCCCCCCCTCAAAAAAAAAAGAACGACGTCCCCGTTTTTAACAGGCTACGCATCCCCATTCCCTGCGTCCCTACGAGGAACCAGCGAGCTGAGTGGGTCTGACATCTTGGGAGAGGAGGACTCCTCTTGGATGATAGCGGCGGGTGCGGTGACCGGGGGCCTTCTTGAAACCAGAGCCTACAACTGATTGAAGGCGGAACATAATGTCGCGCATCGCATGGATGCTGCTGTAGACCTATGACATCCAATAGAACTACGACCTGCTTGCTGATCTGATCCTTCTCCTGTGCCCGACCTAAACCCCAAGATGCCCAACCCCAAATCCTGTCCCCCACTTCTCCGGACATAGGTCTGCCTCTCGACGGCGGCTGATGTGGAGGGTCGCGGCGTGGCTACCTGCGGCGACAAGGCGCGTTGCGAAAACTAATCCAGACAGAACACCTGAAAGCAACGCCCGATACTCGCCCTTGAAGAAGCCCAGGGGTTCGATTCAAAGCAATGGGCGCCCAGGCTCGGGCCTTTTGAGGTTGCGGAGAGCAATACTCGAGAGGCAGAGGTTTGCAGGTGCCGGCGCCCAGGGGGGCCTTGGAGGGGTTCTTTGCTTGCGGCACACCATGGCTTTGCGGCACCCAACAGCCCTCATTCCGCGCACCGAGCATCACACCTCCTCAACCATGTCTGGGAGGGGTCTGAAGCCAAGGGCCAAGAGGAGCAACGGTCACAGACATCACCAGTCCCGAACTCCCGACACCATGACGCCCGCCCCCCCGAAACCATTTAACACTTCAGACCCCCAAGTTGCGTTGAAACCAAACTGCGCCGCAGTCCCCGCCTGCAGCTCCTGCGGCTTTACGCACCTCAGCAGCCTCAAGGGACAAGCGGATGTGGGAGAGAAGGGTGAGGGGTCACCGGGTTGTCTGAATCGGTGTTCATGCATGGGGGGGGGGGGGGGGGGGGGGTAGCTCGAGAAGCGGCCATGACCTTGTTAGGGGCTACTTACGACCCAAATCAGGGGGTACCAACCCCCCCCCCCCGGCGCCCCCCCCCCCACCAAAAAAACAAAAGAAAAAAAGGCTAAGGTGACCTACCCGACTGCTAGGTAAGAATTTCCGGGAGCGCAGTAGATATTGTGGGGGCCCTTGGGGGAGATGTGGGGCGCTTTGGCCCCGTTGGGGTGTTAGAGTAGAATGGGCAAGATACTTTTTTTGGGTGGGGGGGGCTTCTTGAGCAAATAATAGAAAACCCCACAACAACTTCAACCTTAGCCGGCTTGGGGCTTGAGTAGGACTTCTTGGGTTGGTGACATCAGCCCAATCCCTACGACTACGACCTGACAACACTGAACCCCGACAGACCCAGTCGAGCCTGGCTGTTGGCTTCTTCTTTGGTTGCCAATAGCCTCAGACTGACGGTAAAAGGTTACCCAAAAACCTTAGGAATCGGACCTGGTTGAGTGACCCCTCCGACCATTCCACATGACAGTGCAGAGGCTTCGGAACACCGACTTCTGATCGAAACTCAATTGAGAGCGCTGAAGGGTACAGGATGTAGTTTGGAGTCCTGGTAACAATGCCAGGGTTCCGCGGCCTCTCTGCAGTGTCAAACTACATCCTGAATGCCCAACCGCTCGCTCCCAGCGCCCCACTCCTTCTTCGCGGCTGTGGCAGCGCGCCTGGACGGGACATGGGGACATGGAGAGGTGAGAGGAGCCACGCCTACCTCGCTCACCTTACCACGGCTTTGAGACTCGGATCTCGGGAACTTAACTCCTCGTCTGCTCTGCGTCATATTCTGTGGCGGGCTTATGGGGTTTATAGGGCTTATGAGGTTTACAGGGTTTGTAGGGTTTTGTAGGGTTTATCCGAGAGGAAGCGGGAGAGATACACCGTGGCGAGGCAGCTGGACCGTCACATGGCTCTGCTGGTCATGCCGTCCCCGAATCCCTATAAGTCAGCCGAACCCTAAACCCTAAAACCCTAAAATCCTAAAACCTAAAACCTAAACCCTACAACCCTAAAACCCTAAACCCTAAAACCCAAAAACCCTAAACCCCAACCCCAAATTAATTCCCAAAGGACTGTGCAGACCATTTGGTTACGGGCCTGTGCCATGGGCCCGAGTAACTGGGTTGGACCTATCTCCAATATTCAGACTGATATTCCCCATATTTTTAAATGAGTTTAACTTGGGGGTGAGGGCCTGGGACGAAAGCTAGTTAAGGTACCCCGATGGAAGAGCATTCACCAGGAACGAAGGCGTGCAGCCCAGCAGGCACACGCAAAGTCAGCAGGCCGTGTCACTTTTTTACCGCACGCCAAGGCTGGGCAGTGTGCAAGAGCGGTCGGAATTCGGCTAGCATAGGGAGTCCAGAGGAACCGTACAGGGGGGAAGGCCCAGGTTGCTTGATGGAACCCCCTGGGATCCGCAGAAAACGGTGTTCATGTGACCAATATACAAAAAAATGAACACCAGCCCGTTTCCCCAAAACATGCGTTTCGGCACCGGAAATCGACCAGGTTTGCTGCTTTTCGTGGCGGAGCCTCCGGGGGCCCTGTATACCTATCTGGTTGTAAGCTTCGCTTAATGTTGACTTCACATTAATGATTCCCGCTACAATTGTAAAATCCAGCTGCCGGAACACAATAATGTAACCCCCCACAATTATAAAATCCAGCCCGGAATTTTTTTTTACGGGCGTGGTGCTACTACCTAATACTAAAACTAATAGTACGTCCTACCAGGATTTAGGCGAATATAATTGAGGAGGCCCTGGCCGGAGAGATTGATCAATCAAGGGGGGGGGGGTTATTAATGCGAAGTCAACATTAAGTAAGATACTCCGCTAGCTCCTCAGAGGCTAGCTTTCGTGACAATAGATATAGTGGAACGACTCATAACAATAAAAACACAAAAAAACAATCAGAATCATGAAGGTTTGCTTGCTTCCCGCAAGTAGGGTCCCTGATATGTGGTCCTTCTTTTCAACCTGCATCCTGACCAAGGCCCCCCTACAAAAAGGGCCCTAAACCCGAAACCCTAAATCCCCTAAACCCTATAAGGCCTTAAGAATGGGCCCCAAAAACCCGTTGAAGCTTCCGTGGCTTTCGAGTCGAAACGAGGCCAGCGCTGCTCTCTTCTGGGCTTGGCAGCGGGGCCGCCGCCTCTCCTGTTGCGGGTTGGGTGTTCCCCTTTGTACTAAGAGTCCTCAAGTAGGGGTGATAGTAGTAATGCCCATTAGGGACTGTTGGAGGGGAGACATCCCAAGTTTGGGGTGTGAAGTTCTAGGTTGAAGAGAGGAGGGAGCCGTCTTAGCGCTTTCGGCGAAGTGGTTAGAGTTAGGTCTTCGTAGGTCGAGAGAAGATACGGGCATTTCCCAACATAGGGCTACCCCTCTTTTCCCCCAAAATAGAATAGAAGCCCCGTCAAGGAACCCCCAAGAAGGGTACCCCTAGTCTCGGAAACCCCCCATACGAGTATGCAGCAAGGAGGAGAAGCCAGGGGGTATCGCCCGGGAAACCTGCGACGATCACACTCACGCAATTACAAGCGACGTGACTCATCCCAGGGTCAGCCCGCAAGGAATACGCGCACATGGATTTGTTAAGCCCCTGCCTAAACCCCAACATCCTCAAAGCCCTGGAACCATGAAACCCAAAAACCCTGAAATCCTGAAACCCTACAACCCTGAAACCCTGAAACCCTGAAACCCCAGAAACCCCATCGAAACCCCATCGAAACCCCATCGAAACCCCATCGAAACCCCATCGAAAACCCAGAAACCCCAGAAACCCAGAAACCCAGAAACCCAGAACCCTAAACCCTAAACCCTAAACCCAAAATCCAGAACCGCGCCTTGCTGGCCGTTGCCGGAGGCCTCCCACGCCGCTTCGGGCGCCCTGCGGGCAACTTCGGTCCCCAGGGAGTCGGGAATCTTCTGGGGGTTTAGGGTTTAGGGTTTAGGGTTTAGGGTTTAGGGTTTAGGGTTTAGGGTTTAGGGTTTAGGGTTTAGGGTTTAGGGTTTAGGGTTTAGGGTTTAGGGTTTAGGGTTTAGGGTTTGCGTTTTGTAGGGTTTAGAGTTTTGGTCTTTTAGGGTTTAGGGTTTATGGTTTTAGGGTTTTAGGGTTTAGGCCGCCAGCTCTGTATGTCTACGCCTCTTAGGCGGCAAGGATGAAAGTCTGAGCATCGTTATAAGGGCAAGAAGGAAGGCCTTCTATAAAAACTCACCTCTTGCGGCCTCGACCGGGGTCCCACCGGAACCGCGCCTGCAGGGCATGGGATGCCCCTCCAAGAGGCCCTGCCTAAGCTCGTGGCGGGCTTGCAGACGCACTGGCCCCGTTAAGATTCTCCCAAGGCCTTCTAGGGCCTTAGCAAGGGTTACTTTAAGAAAGCCCTTGTATCCCCCTGTACTCTTCAGGTATGGCATCCGACGGCGAGGTCCTTAAGCCCTCAGCCCCGTATTCCAGGTCATCTGAGGAGAGGGCTGCGCTTCTGCCGAGAACCTTGGAGACCGCATCCCTGAACCAACCGGCGAATTCGAGAAGCCTACAAGCCCATGGTCCGCAAGGGGAGGATAATCCAGACCCAAATGAAGAGGTTGAAAGTATAACTCATGTGTGGATTCCAGCGTTGACTCCTGGGTTGCAGGTTTGGGCCCTCAACCCATAATGATTATGGGAACCCTAAACCCTAAACCCTAAACCCTAAACCCTAAACCCTAAACCCTAAACCCTAAACTCTAAATCAGGCTTGGCCTTGAGGGCCGGTGGGAAGTCCATGGGTAGGGAAGCTGCTCGCATTGGCGTGCGGAGTGGGCCCTCTCTGCATCCGGCACCAGCATGCCAAAGTGGGCAGTTGAATGCCGGGGACAAAAAAGGGAAAAAAGACAGCTTTAGAGTTTCAGGATTCTGGGACTTCGGGGCAGCCTGTTGGCTGGGCTTCGTGCACGAAGCGGGCTTCATGATCTCGTGTTAAGAGCTTCCCGATCGTGAAGTCCAACGACATCTGCCTGCCGCGGGCTCAGTGAGCATGGGAGGGCCAGGCCTTTGAACCAAGTCCGAGCAACTTCAGGGATAGGGTCTGAGGGCTAGCTGAGTCACGGTGCTAGCACTGATGGAAACCCAAATTCACTGGAATTGCACATGCTACTCCGCGTCTGCACAATGCCCATCAACCTGTGTTGCAGTCCGGTGCTTGGGGAGCTGCCATGGTCCTGCCTTCCCTGCGACATGGCCTCCCCAATTTGGATGACCTGGACCAAGGCAGGCTCAGCAGAAGCACTCGGAAGTTGGATCCCGGGAGCCACGCATCCCATTGAAGCAAAGGCACCTATTGGGAGTTCTCTCTGGGGTGTTGTACACGGCCCCCTTTAGATTTAGCATAACGCAAAGAATTGAGGAGCTGACCAGAGATCATACCGCGCAGGTTTAGGGCTTAGAGTTCAGAGTCTAGAGTGTATATATATATATATATATATATATAGGACACTGCTTGGGAGGAGGGCATGGAACGGCGCCTTCGGACATCGGATCCCTTTACAGTCTTGCTTGCCGCGCTCCGACAACCGCAAGGGCTCTTGCAACTCGGAACCAAGCCCACGCACGGAAGTCTGCGGTGCTGTGCGCCGCCCCTAGAATAGCACAGCCCCTAAACCCCCCGTGCGCTGGATTCCCCATGCCGTTTTCAGGGCCGAGCCAGCACTCGCAGTCCAGCGACGACGTGGTCCTGCATGCCCGGAAACAGATTACCAACACTGTGTTTTCAACATAAGGTTCCCTGCCTTGGGTTTTGGTATCAACGAACATATAAACCCATATATATATATATACACATATGTGTATGTATGCGTATACATATATATATATATATATATACATTTTGTATGTATGGTGATACCTATGCCTGTAAGATATCTATCTTGAGGGTGTTAGGTTTCAAGGGGAGGGGTCTGAGGGGTTTCCCCCGACTTGTGTCCTCAAATAAGCAAGCCTCGCAAAGAACTGGCAAGCCCCTGTCTCCTTGTCAAGATCCCATAAACCCTATAAGCGCCAAAAGCCTCCATCGTGTCTGCTATGAGCTGTTCACAGCCAGGCTCGTGTAGGATTTGGGCGTGAAGCTTTGCAGAAACTGCCTCCTCGGGCGTCACACGCCACGCGCCCAACCCACGCGCAGCTCGCGTTGGAATGCAGCACGACTGTGCCCCAGCAAGCCTCCCCGAAACTCCCAAACAAGGCCAAAGGCCCCAAAGGCCCCTCAAAGCATCTCAAGACGGACCGTTGCCTTCTTCAGCTTCCGCGAGAAGCGAATGGCCGCCTGGGTCGTTTCAAGGGGGCTCTTAGCTTAATGGGGGCTAGTGCTTTCTTCAAGGCTGTGGCTTTAAGGTGCAAGGTTCAGGCTCGACTTCACCACCATACTGTATCAACGAAGCCTGGAAAGTACGCCCCGCATTCAGGCCCATTGGCGCGGGCAAACCACGACCGCAAAAGCACCTACACTGCAAGACCCTCAATCAGCAGAAACAAGTGCATACCTGTCACACAATGTTCAGGGTTCTCGCAGATGCTGCAGACAATCCTGTAGCAGACCCAAAAGGCGCTAAACTCTACGCAATCTGCACCACCCTACGAGCGGAGGCTCTATATCGGCGGCAACGTGAAAACAAGTTTGTACTGGGGGTTTTGGGCCGGGGCGGGGAGGGTGCGCTTCTGCGTCTACTCTTGTGAGGTTTGGATTGCAGGCTGCCAACGCGAATTGCTCAAGCTCGAGGCGCTCCCATCCATCCGTTTCGTTCTTCATGGTTACCTACACTATAAAGGCCGGTGGCCTCTTTATCTGTTGCCCTTATACCTTAATGTAGCCCCTAGATACCCTAATAAGAGCCCCGAATACATGCCCCAGAAGACAGAAACTCTACTTGAAGAGACCACCAACCCTTATAATACCTACATTTTTGCATGGGAAGGTTGCCAAGACGATCGGTGCAGCAAAACGTTTGCTTTTCAGACTTAAAGACAACCGCGGTGTTGTTTCGATTGCGCAGGCGCGCGATGCTTTTTCGAAATTCGGTCTGACAGTGTGCATGCAAGTAATCTACACAGCGAATTTCAGAAAATTCTGGTCTCGGTTTCCATATGTATTTCTTGGCTAATGAAGTGAATCCCCTTAGGGTAGCAGGATTTTTCCACGGCGACTGCTTGAGAAACACTGCCCCCACCTCGCAACCCCAACACCCTGTGAGCCGAGGCCCTATGTTACCCCAACACACCCCACCCCCCCCGGCAAACATTAACAAACACCCAAGCCCCCGAAAGCCCGACGCACCTTGCTGTAGTTGAAGTCCTCGCACGCAGCAAGGTCCGCCTCCAGCGGCGCTACATAGCGCCTCCCGTCGGGCTGCGTCCCGTGGGCTTCGGGGCTTACGGGTTAAGGGTTTAGGGTTTAGGGTTTAGGGTTTAGGGTTTAGGAAAGCTAAGCGCTCAGGGCTTCTGCGGGTGAAGAGCTTCGGGCGTAGGAGCCCCTGCAAGCGGACCTGACGATGACCTCTTGGAAAGAGGGAGCGTGCTGTCCCCTGGATGCCGACTCCCACGGAAGGTCTTCTCAGGCCACCCCTACAAGGCTATCCGGGGTACCTACTCGACCACTGGCGCAAATCGACTCAATCCTCCGCCACCCAGGAACCTGCTGTTGGAAACGTGGAAGGTGCGGCAGAACGGCTCCAACAGCTCGAAGTACCTGAACTGGCTCCGGACTGGTCTTGGACTGCTTGCAGGGCCAGTAAGTCTACAGGTCGGACAATCCCCTCCAACTCAAGCCGACTACATATCCTAACTACATCTATGTCGGTAAGTTTATCAGATGCACAGTTCATTGTTGCTCATCGTGACTAAGCCTTAGGACTTGCGGGCGTGTGGAATGTGGGACCCCCTTCAAACCCCCCAAAACCGTGGAGGGAAGCCGCGAAGCCGCGGTCCCTCAAGCAACCCGCAGCCCCCATGCAAGCGCACAGCTCCGTGCTGTCGCGCCGGAAACGGTGCTCCACCTCGCGGGGGACTGGAGGTTTTCTAACAGCTTTCTAGGGGTTTACGTGAAGGCTTCGAAGTCCGGAACCCCCTGTCTTCTAGATCTTCCCGAAGGGTTCCGGGCTACGGCATGTCGGGGTCGTACTTGGTGAAACTACGTGCGGGCAAGCAAAGACAAGAAGAGCCAGAGCAGCTGGAAACCAAGGGGAAGGCAACCAGGATGCTTGGAGCGAAAGCAAGAGTGGTGTTGCAAGTTGCAAGCACACAGTGGAGGAACATGGAGACTTACCAGCACCTTCACTTCTTGCCTTCCACGCAATCAGAAAACGCATCCGTGGCAGCATTGTCAAGGTCATTGGCACACTGTACTTCCCTTACCGGATCGGTGCAAAAACGATCCGCCCAGTTGGGCCGATCTTGCGGTATGCCGAAAGCTCGAACATGTACCAGAACAACCTCCTTTTTCCCTTCTGACCGCGCAACGTGAGCACGCTGCCGAGGAAACCATGGACAGAAGGACCTGTCTCGAAAATTCTCGAAATCAGGCCTGCACGATAGCACGCTTGCCCACATCCGCGGGATACTTGTCTCAAGGCATCAGGGTATACCTCTGGGAGGGAAACCCTGATGCCTACGCCCTTGCAACGGGTAATCCTGTGTGTGGGCGAAGATGTCGAGCATGCTGTCGTGAAGTAGACAGATCCTTATCTCGCGGGTTTCATGGGCAGCGTGCTCTGGACACGCAGCCCCGTACCGCATGAGAATGTCGTGCGTCTCTGAAAAACGCATGCACCGTATCGCAACGTCGGGAAAAAGGCAACGCCGGAAAAAAGAACGATGACTAAGCCCTGAACCCGTAAAGCCCTGTGCCTTCAACTTGGGGTGTTCCCCCTTCTACTAACAGCCCCCAAGAGGAATTAAAGTTTAAAGTGGCCCCTATTGCAGTCCCTAGTGAGGACTCTTAGTACAAGGGGGAACATCCTGACCCCCTGCCCCCCTGTCCGCCTGCCAGGTGATCCGCGCGAAGCCTGGGATGACCAGGCCCCGTAGCTGCCTGGGAGGGCACTTTGCTCTTGTTGCTGCTCTTCCACGTCTAAATTCTACTTTAAAAAGATCAAAATTACCTGTAAAAACTATAACTTCTGTCATTACTAAGACAGGTTCAGAAGGCATCATAGGCCTTGTAGAACTTCGAAGTGCAGGCTTTTACCTTCCCCCAATGAAGGGAAGTCGGGCTCGCTAGGAAGCCCGGGCCCAAACCCTAAACTCCTGGACCCTAAGGGTTTAGGGTTTGGGGCTTAGGGCTTGGGTTTAGGGTTTAGACTTTAGAGGGTTTAGAGGGTTTAGAGGGTTTAGAGGGTTTAGAGGGTTTGGGGTTTAGGGTTAAGGCCCCTAAAAAAACTCAGCAGCGGTGATTCGCGAGGTCGGGTCGTTGTTGAGATGCAAAGCGAAAGGCCCCAGGCAAGGAAAAGATGCTGCTAGAACCCCCCTACCCTTCAAAAATAGAAAGTAACAATAGAAAGGGATCTAGACTCCCGAGTCAGAGATGTGGCTTGGGGTTTTGGGGGATTTTTACGGTTGAGGCCCAGGAGTTGAGGGTTGCAGGAAGATGGTAGGTGCGGAGTTCTCCGGCGGGTCAGGGGACGAAAAGATAGGACGCTGCCAGTCCTACGAACAAGGAAACAAGCAACCCTCGGGTTTTGCCACTTAGAACTGCTTTAGAGCACTCAGCAACTTTCAAAGGGGCTTGTGGGGTCGAGGCGGGGGGGGGGGGGGTGCGAGTTTGGGGATGTCAGCAGGCTTCCAGCCAAAGGAGCTCAAG